TTGAAATAAACCTAAGATTTATGAGATAGTCACTAGTCCTACTGTAGAATCATTTCTCTGCGTATAAGCTTTAGCTGCCCAAATTCAAAATTTCCACAAGCCTATTGTCTTTGCTATAACTATACGCAATTGCCCAATAAATACTTGACTTTCTCATGTTGACCCTTATAATCCTGTTACTATATTATTTGAACATTTCATCCTTTTTTTCCTCCTGAAATAGAGACGAAAATCTCCTTTGCCACAATTTTAAGTATGATTGAGAAGGGTTCACCTTCCCATTTTCAAGTGGCTTAATAATATGAAATCGTCAAAACAACATGGATCTTCAGAGACAGCACATGACTTACTGTGCTGACAACCATTTATCCTGCCTATCCATGGGTGAAAAGAAAGATAAACTCTTCAGAATAGAATAAGACTTTTCCATAGATAAATTTTTCAACTCTAGTTATGTATTTTCTCACAAAGGAAAAAAAAAAAAACCCACCAAGTTTACTTTTCATAGTCTCTTCTCTTTTTTTTTTCTTACATACTTTTTTATTTCCTAATACAATACTTTTCTTAATCAGAGGTCACTTACCTACCAATTTAAACCATCAAAGAACCTAATTTTAAAATGGTCTCTAAGCACCAAAATAGAGGTCTTTAGGTCCATTCATCAAAACATAGTCTACAATTTTGTAAGAGCAGAACCTTCAAGCACTTACCCAGAGGCTAAATGCCTTGTACATAATTTGAGGGCACAAATGATTACAAACCCCTTTTGAGGAAATAGGGCATTTCTTGGACTAATGGGTCTGGTGAGAAAGCCCTAATCTGGGAGAAAAAGGAACAATTACCAGGACATGTCCTTTGTTAGGCACTAATCTAAGAGTTTTAGATGACCTCTAATATAATCCTGAGCAAATAAGCAAAAATTTCAGTCTAAGCACCTCTAGGTAAGGAATTAACAAAAGAACTGGAATTCAAATTCAAGATGAACAGATAGCCATGGAAAAATCACCTCCCTTAGCTTCCTCATCTGCAAGACTTAACCTGTTGTTGGTTATCCCTTGTTCCATGAGTCCATATAATGCTAAATGCTGGTAATAATGATCCTGAGCCATTAGGGAAAATCATTACCAGCATCCATTTACTAAGGTAAGGAAGTACGTGGTGCATGTTCTATAAAATTTGAAAACACATTTGTATTTAAAGGAATAAGCTTCATTTCGCTAGAAAATGAATCTCTGTGGATTAGCTCATTCCTTCATATAATGGCAAGAACATGAGCTATGATTTTTTTTTTTCCTCTAAAAAGGGGAAGGAAAGAGGAAAACCTTTACTATGTGGCTTCCTTATTTCTTTATGGTAGGAATTTCCATGTAACATACATAACAAAATGCACATATTCATAATGACAGATTCTGAACTGAATTTATTTTTAAATCCTTAAGCATTTGTACTATTCAAAACTTTGCCTTTCTCCACTCATTCAAATGTTTATTAAATGCTCACTCTTGTCATGACACTGTGAAAGACATGTAAAGATGAATAAGAGTACCTAGCATATTAAATATATATATAAATTTTTAAGGAGTGATGGAATAGCCAGATGATTATGTTTCAAATGAAATGAATGCTTATAAATAAACGCTGTTTTACATCCTGTTTTGTGAAATGAGATTGAAAACATATGCAGATTACACACCGATTTCACTAAAATATTGTATCCACCCAATAATTAAAATGGGAGGATTGACTCTTCACAGCTTATTAACCAGGCATGTTCATTTATATTCTAGTATTGTTTCTTACCATAAGGTTCCAGAAGCTCAAGCAGAGTTTTATGCAATGTGCTTACCCATTTGTATCATTTTATGCTGACAAGACAGTGGATCAAAACTCAGAGAAATAATTTAGTGCATACATGACTAGCAGAAGCTGGGGTCTTCTATGGCTAGGCTTCTTTCTTCAAAATGAGCATCAGTTGTCACAAGGAGGCATGCATTAAAGTGTGTGCTCTGTGAACTTCAAACTAGAGCAAAGAACAAAGAGCAAAGAGGCTGAGGAACTGGTTCATTACAGCAGTAGCTACTTAGATGGGCTTTTTTTGGTTGGTTTTTCGGTACAATTATTATCTAAAGTTTAAATCATATATTTTAAATGCTCAATTAATATTCATCTTTACTTCAGTGTAAAGAATATAGTATGCAGTTATTAACTTATTTTTAAATGCTGCCTTGTGAAAACCAGTGATTTCAAGGCAGTAGCAGAAATATTTAAATAGCTTCGACTCTGGTATAAATGCCTAGGAAACATGGGATCACCTGTTACAGTAATGATCATGCTAGAGGTTTGGGACAACCTACCATGTTTTGATGAAATTTGCTACGAATCCAACAATCCAACAATCCTCTAAAATGCAAAGGACTCTTCATGTTTACAAAGATAATTACTTCTTTAGACCAAAGGCCCAGAAAGTAAAGCCATGGCAAATTATTTAGAACAAAGAGATTATTAATTCCACATTGATTTTCAAATCTAGTTCCTATATAATTGGTATGGACTAGGTCTAAGGTTCCAATAGACTTATTCCAATGTTTAATACCTCTTTACGTCAAGGTATTAAGCATAACAGCTTTAAGTGTAGGGCTTTTTCTTTAACGGGTATGGTTTACTTAGTATTGTTTCCAAGTGATGTTAATAATTGCTCAACCATTAATGAAGCATTTGTATGACATTATCAAATTGCACACTTCTGTGAATTCTTAACATGGGAACGGAAGCCATTAGAAGAGAATTATCAGAGTAGGTAAACTGAACAAAACTAAAAATGGTGGTAGATATAGCCAAACACCGGAGTCAAAAAAAACTCGAGTTAATAAATCATCACTACTACATACTGAGCAATGTGGTGTTTCTGTCATTGAATTAGCCACTTTCCTACTGAATATTTTATAACTGAGAGGAGCCATGGTTGAGAGTGTAGGCTTGGGAGTGTGAAAGGAAGATCAAACCCTAATCAATCCCTTACTAGTCATGTGATCTTGGGAAACATTTAAATTCATTCAGAGCCTCACATTCCTCATCTGTAGAATCAGGTTAATCTTTTATTCTTTCTCATTAACCAGATAATATGTGAAAGTTCTTCAAAGGCACTTTATGCCTTGCCACTAGAGATAATCACAACAAATTTATTTTGGCCTAAATACCAATGAGATGATATCTATTTAATACATTAAATTGGATTCTCATAGCAGGAAATTTATCTTATTCATCTTTGTATCCCCAGGAACTAGCGTAAAACCTAACACGAACAATATTATTGTTGAATAATGTAATTTTGATATCCATAAATATATTCACGTCATATCCATTGCCATACCCTACTGCCTCTATGTCCTAAGTAGCTATTCCATTCCCTTCTCTTCATCTCCACCACTGAACTCTTGTCTACTCCTGCAGTCCTCTCCTGAGGGAGCAGTATCTGCTCTGGCTTTCCTCCAGTCTTTTATTTTTTTCTTTTCAAGGTAAAGTGAACTCTTCAAAGAGTAAATGGATCTTACCACATTTCAAAGACTTCCACCACTCCTAAGAAAAATACAAAGTCCTAACCAGGCTAAAAGATCTCTCCAATCTACCAATCCCAGTTCTGTCTTATTTCAGACTACCTGTTCCATCTCATTCTCCCTTTTCCAGCCACACTGATTTTCTTTTAATCCCTCATATATTTGAAGCTCTCTTCCTTTGCTCTCATTTTGCCTGAAGTATCCTTCTGCCAGCCAACCTCATGCACAGATGTTGCATATCCCCTCCCAGTCCTTCTTCATACCTCAGCCTGTTACTTTACCATCAAAGCTTTCCTTGACCTTCCTGTAACTCATCACAGAACCATGTTTCTCTCCTTTAGAGAACTTTTTAATTTACATGTCTTTATGTTGCTATTTAATGAATATCTGTGTATCTTCCTAACTAAAGTATAGGCTCCACAAGACCTGTTTGTTTTTGTTCCCCTGGTGCCTTAAGTATTCAAAATTTTGTTGAGTGATTTTTACAAACATTAATATTCTTAAAAGGCCACCCAAGATCCATCTCTGCAATATCCTGAAGAGATTCTGAGAAGCACTCTAATAAGAGAATAGGTACAGAATACCTACTGGCATATAAAATCAAAATAATAAAACACAAGGGCAACTGGAAGGAGATGCAAACTTATTATTTATCCAAGTTTGAAAAATTTTCTCAGACTTAGAACCTCATTTCTTTCAAGTTGTAAGCATATGTTAATTTTATAGCAGGCAACTTTTTCTTGCAGAACCAAAGGCTATGAGGAAGTTTTGCGGGAGAAATCGTAGTACAGCATAATATTGCGTGCATCCATGAAATACAATCATCCATACTTCTAAAGGGCTTTTAAAGCATGATGGCTTAATCAGAATATTTTTAGTACAAGTTATAAACTCTTACCAAATGAATATCACGCCATCTGCAATGAACGCCTGAATGGCAAGAAGCTGTGCTGCAATTTACTTTAAAAAGAAATAAATTCACTTAGGAGAACCAGAATTGGGTTTCACTTATCAATGGCAGCATATTTGGCAAGTGAGAAGCTAGAATTTCACGCTAAAAGCTTACTGTCTTAAAACTGTGAAGAAGAAAAAAAGTCAGAGGTTGCAGAGACTTGATAATATTAAGAGCAGAAAATGCAGCTATAGACCTAAGGAAACCATGTTTTGCTGGGTTGTAAAGAAGTTAGGCAAGGTGACATGAAATAAAATACCTTCGATCAATTCCTGCCTGGGCATCTGTGTGGCAGCCTTAGCCCTCAGCAGTTCTCTACTACGCAGGCGCGCTATCTCTCCTGTATAGTCAAGATAAACTTTTGGGGGAAAAAAAGAGCCCCAGGGAGGCTGGACCAGAGCAAAGAGATGACAATTTGGACCCGGGAAACCTGACGGGGACTTTAATTCCATTTTCCCCTGCTAACCCCATAGCAAGTTATAGGAGCGACTCACCTGGGAAGAGAAAGCAGCCACAGAGGCTGCGTGAGGAAAGCCAGGCACCCCAAGGCTCTGCAGAGCGCTTCCCTGCACGTCCGTCACCGCCTGGCCCGGGCGGACCCGCGCTCGAATTTTCTCTCCATTTAGAGTACAACCTGGTCCTTCCACCATCTCTCCAGGCGGAACTGCGGCCCACTAGTTTCAGGGCCGCTAGGAGAAATCTCATGAGTAACAACCTCTGCGCGGGCACTGGACTCTGCAGAGAGGACGTTCAAATCTCCCGCGCGGCCAGCCCCGCCTAGGCCCTGCCCAGGCCCCGCCCCGCCAGCTCCTGGCCTGTGAGGGCCCGGCCCCTGCAGCGCAGGCGCAATGCCTCACCCTTCGGGCTCCGGGTGTGGGATAAGTATGGTTGAAACGCTAGAGATGGTTAGGTAGAGCCCATCCAACCCTCTAAACTTTGAGAACAGAGGCCGTTGGGGCTTGAGGTACTCCAACTTTATTTTCTTTGCTCTGAGGTTATGTCCTTGTTTTTGAGCTAGTCAATACATGCACATTTTGTAAACTTGTCTTCTTCTGTCTTCAAATCCAAGATTGTCGCAATCTGGCAGGTCTCTGGTTTTTGAATGCCCTATTTGGACGTGGGTGAGAGGAGAGGGACTCAGAGAAGGGTTTTAGAACGAGAAGCTTTAATTTTTTCTCTTATAGGTTTAGCATGTCTTAGAAAATGTGACTTTATATGCCAAATATATTTTAGTTCTGTATTAAAAACCCCTTCATTTTTTAGATAATTAAGTGAGCCCTACCCAGATTCATGTAACCATTCTGATAGGGGATGGCCCGAGGTGAAGGCTATTTGAAATTGCTTTGTAAAAGACAGCGCTCTATATAAATTGGAGGGAAACGCATAGCTTTTCACATTTTCACAAAAATACATACATATAAATAAATGAAGCCAGTAATATTGTTTTGTAAATAATGACAAATCTATTCCTTTTTTAAAATTAAAATATGGCACATTAAAATAGAATGCCAATTTACGAGTGATTTAATAAGTATATCACAGTGCTGTAGTTAAACCAGAAGAATACACCAAAAAATTGAATTAGAATATACTAAAGACTTGAATTCAAAATTTGAAAAGTATTAAATCTTTCTCTTTGTGGTGAGAAATTAGTGGTTAAAAGTTAGTTGGATTAGGTTCAGGATTCTTTGTACTTTACTCCTTTGTTTAATTGTGATTTACTCTTCTATGTCGTTATTAAATATTCAATGAAGAGAGAATCCTAGTCCTTACAACACAAATTCAGTCATAATCTCTGCCCTTTGATGAAAGAAAGCTCACCACATCTTATTCAATTGTACCTTCTTAATTATTTTTTGCTGCCTGACAAATTATCTGATTTGTTATTTCAAAGATTCTGCAGGTCAGGAACTTGGCAGTGGTCTGACTGGGTGGTTCTGGGTCAGCGTTTCTCAGTCAAGATGTTGGTCAGGGTGCAGTCACCTAAAGGCTTGATTGTAGCTGGAAGATTCAGTTCTGAGATGACTTGTATAGCTGTTGATAGGAGGCCTTGGTTTCTCATCCGTGAGTCTCTCTATAGGGCTGCTTAACTGTTATCAGGACATTGCTGCTGACTTCCCTGAGAGTGTGTGATCCAAGAGAGAAGGAGGAGAAAGTTCTAATGCCCTTTATTACCTTGTCTCTGAAGGGACACACCCTCCCCTCACTACTTCCATTCATTAGAATTCAGTCATTCAGTATAGCCCAAAAGGGGTTAGGGGTAGGGAATTAAGCTTTATCCCTTGAAGAGAGGAGTATCCAATAATTTGTGAACATATTTTAAAACCATCACAATATTCATTAATTTGATTGATTCATCATGGACTTCCCATTTCTCTTTAAGTGTTGTCTACTGGTGTAAATCTGGATCAAATGTAATCTTTAAGTAGGTTTACTATTCCCTAGAGAGCTAAGTAAGAGTTGAAAAGTACCACTGAAGACATTAAGAGACTTCACTGATGTGCCCACCAGGCCAAGCCAGAATTTGTTTATATGGGACTAGCTTCTTGGTCTTTTGATACTTGTCTTTGTTATCTTTTGTTACTTCCAATTAAGAGCAAAATCACATGCATTGTGCCTCTGCCCTATCTAAAAAAAATTCCCTTTCCACTGCAAGCAAACCTACCTTGGTGTGGACTCTTGGTACTTTTCACCTAGGCTTATACCAAGAAACAAAAATTGTCACCTTTTTTTAACCTCCTCTTCATCATATTTTACTGAAATTCTCTCAACTTTTCAGTCCTAATTGAATACATATCCTCTAAGAAACCTTCCAGATACAGTCAGAATTAATTGCTCATTTTCTGGAGTTGGTTCTTCCATAGATTTTACCAAACTTATCTTGTGTTAGAGTTAATTGGTACATACTGAGTTCCTACTAGACTAGATTTGTTCCTTGAAGACAGAAGAGTGAGTGACCTGTTTATACTTCCCATAGTAGCCAGGAGACTCCTTGCACATAATAGATATTCAACAAATATTTGTTGAATTGTGATTATTAACTTAAGATTAAAAAATTGGACCTGTCTGTCTCTTTTCTCATATCTTTAATATCATTCTTATGTATTGAGATTTTATGTTTTCAGAAGTCTCTTCTAAAATAAACTTTAGCAAAAGTAAGTAATACGTTATGTTACCCTGTGGCATGCTTTCTTTATCAGATCAACAAGCCAGTAATTTCAGTGTATTCCTGAGGACATCAGACCAACCATATGTGCAGTCATTTGTGCACATTAATTTGTATTTATCTTCACAATAACCCTGTATAGTAAGAATAGATAATACCATTAGTATTTTATAGATTAAGAAATCGAGTTTCAGACTAGTTATTATTTTCCATGATTACATGTAGGGACCAACAAAGACAAAGAAATGTAACCCAAACTTTCTTTCTTCTAGACCAGTATTCTTTTCACTAACACGTGACCATAGATGAAATAAAAATGCCTAAAACATTGGAAAAGATAGCTTTCCTAAGGACCTCAAGTAGCCACATAACACTAGTGGAAAAAATGTTGAAAGCGGTAAGAAATTGCTAAAAAGATATGGGGTGAGAGTTAAAAATGAACATGAATTTTACTTCCAAAGATTTTTATTAATAAAAACATAGTTAATTCTTGCTCTGTGGTACAAAGGAACATAGTGGAGCCTTTGCATACAAAATTACAATGTAGTTAGAGATACTGACATTAAAAAATGTAATGAAAGGAAAAGAGATCTCATGCTGGGCACAGAAAAGGATATAGATACTATAGGAATCTGTTGAAGTAACACATAACTCAGAAGCAATATAGAATGGGACATGCTCAGAGAAGACACAGGATCTGAGCTGATTCTTTAAGAAGTTAGGGCCCTAGGCAAGTAGAAAGATCAATTAAAGGAATTCTAAGCAAGAGGAATACAGTAAAATATGTGATGTATTTGAGGCATGGTGATTAAAGCAGACATGTCAGGGAAATAGTGGTGGATAATATTGGAAAGATATCTAGGATAACCAAGGATAAGGAAGAGTAGATTTCACTTTCCTGGGGAAATAGGCAGCCAATGAAACTTTTGAGCAAGTGTTCCCGAAGTTCCCAAGTTCCCAAGTTCCCAAATCCATACTACTTATTTACTAAAACTTGAAATCCAGAACTTCATTCAAATTATGGCGAGAAACCCATAATTTGAGTTTAGATCCTTTATGTGCTCACTCTTTAATAAGAAATAAGTGGATACCCCTTGCTCATAGAAGGTAGAGTTTCTTACACAATGCTGAGCTCAGAACACTGAAGATTCCTTAGTTTGAAATTTCTCTGTTTTCATTAAAAATAATCTCAGATACTTACTTAGCGCTTCTGTGTGCCAGGCAGTATTCAAAGCAATTTTGCAAATACAAACTCTTTTAATCCTTACGATAATCCTCTGATGTTAGTACTATTCTTATTTTCATTTTACAGAGGAACTGGGACACAGAGAGGTTAGGTAATTTGCTCAATGTCAAAGAGTTGGGATTCAATCAGGCATGCTTTGATTTTAGCCAAATATTTTCAGCAACATCAATTATGTTATACTGGCCCTCAACCAAATATTTTTAGCAGCAACTTAAGAAGTGGTGGTTTAGAGAGAAGCAACCTTTCAGTCAGCCTTATATGGAATTAAAGGATCTAACAACCTTTTAGCATATTAAGTTTTGACATATTTTGGATAGTGAAACTTTGTTTTTATCCCTCTTCTTACAAGGACTGTAGACAGATTTTTAGCTGGAATAACAAAAACGTAGCATGGGGGAAATTTCTTTAATTTTCGTGTTTTACATAAATTACCTGAATATATTTAACAAGTAGAGAGAGAACATCCATCCTCTCTCAACGTCCTCTTAATTTGAGCTCTGAGTAGAGGAAACGGTCATTAGTGAACATTACGTGCAGGTGTTTTCTGTGGTATTTACTAAAGAGTCTCCAGTTTCTACCCATTAAGAGAAACTTTTTAACATTAGACCACCAGAAGAAGAATAAAATGCACAGCAACAGAAACCATTTTGACACTGTTATTGTTTGACACATATACCAAATATTAGGACTTTGCAAAGCAGTAGAATTCGTTCCATTGTGAAGGCTGAAAGTGCCAGCTGACAGTTTTCTGCCTGCAAAGTCAACATCTTAAATCACAGTGTTGACCCGTAGCCTCCTAGGTGAGACACAACTGCTCTGATGTTCCTAGCCTTTTCAGAGTGAGTGCTGTAAAATCTAGGATCTTGCTTTAATTCTAGCAGTGTTTTCGCCAAATCCTCTGTGGAAGGAAGTTTTCTGATTTACTTTTAACTTCAGCATATTAAGTAAGTACAGATAGTTTCTGAGCAAGAAAATAATGACTAAATAGTTATCAGGCACTCACAAAAGATCCAAAAGAATCTCTTTGAATCTCTTTGTGAGGATTCTCTCCATGAGAGAGGATGGGAGAATTAATTTATTTTCTATGTTGAAAAAGAAAAGCAAGTTATTTTTTGTTCATATCTTGGAACGGTGTTTTTCATCAGTCTCATTCATGTTGAGTCATGAAATCCACCATTTACTCATTCATTCAGAAATCTGAATTAACAACTGATACATTACAGGAAGGGTGCTAGATCCATGGATACAGATAAAAGAGATAAAATAGCTCACAGACTAGTGCAGGGAAAAGGGAGAATAAATACCAGCACTATGTCAGAGATAACAGCATGCTCTGAGCAGACCCAAGGAGGAGACCCTGG